TTCATTCATTTGTTTGCTTGTTGTTTTTTAACCTTAATTTAAGAATTCAGAGAAAGAATGTTTTTAGGAAAATTTTGTCCAGCTATCTGTGGTTATTTCATTTTCAGAATAATAAAATGAATAATAGTAATAATAATAATATGAGTCTACAATTATATTATTATTATTAGTAGTAGTAGTAGTAGTTGTAGTAGGTAGTAGTAGTAGTAGTAGTAGTGGTAGTAGTCTGATGCGATTGGCTTTGAGTTTCACGCGCCAAATAGATAGATGGTTAGTTTAAATAGACAAACAAGTTCAAATAAATAGATGAATGAATGAAGGAATAAGAAAGTAGATAAATGAATAAATAAAGAAATGAGGAAATGAAAGAATAATTAAAACCTCATTAAAAGAATTTGTGTTCAACGGAGCGTATGAATATTTCCTTCAATTTGAATGCATCTGGATTTAATCCGAAGGGTGAATTTTTTCTTCACGGCTTGGCAGCTACGACACTTTTTGAATAATGAATACTACTATTACTGCGTCAGTGGATAAAACAAACCCACGTCCAACATACATAGACGTACATAGGCACTTATACATAGGCACGCACACATGCACAGATACGCATACATCCATTAATATAAATATCCATAGATCAATGTATATGAACATACAAATATCCACAAATATACACATACATCCATGAATAAAATACATATACATGCATGCACAGAGAGAGAGAGAGAGAAAGAGAGAGAAATTCGCACACAAACATCAAACATGCGTTCGCAATTTTTTTTTATAAACAACACAAGGTTAAAGCAATCTTGATGAACAAAATTTTTTTCTTTAAGATGAAGTGCACACATCTTATGTATACATTCTTTGAATGTAATGTATGTGTGTTTGTATGTGTGCGTGTGTATGTGTGCGTGCGTGTGTGTTCGTGTGTCTCCCAATTTGTCAAATGAAGTCTTGGTTTGATTGATACGAATTATAAAGATATTACTAAAGCATTTTTAGACAAAATAATAAAAGAACAACAGCGTCAGTAATTATAATAAAAATAACAATAATAATATAAATAATAATAATATAAATAATAATAATATAAATAATAATAATATAAATAATTTATTCTTTCCATTGCTGACGTCTGTTTTTCTATTTTTTGCCTTTGAAATTAGGCAAACTACCGTACAAAGGAAACAAGCGATTAGATAACTTTACTAAAGTTCAATTCCACAAATACACACGCATACATGCATGCACACACACACGCACATGTATGCTTTCATACCGGCAAAAATACACGTATATTCATTCAGAGATACCGCGAAACACATAAGAATACGCACATACATTCAAAAATAAATAAATTTTAAAGACACACACACACACATATAAACATCATTAACATTATTGTTATTATTATTGTTATTATTATTATTATTATTACTATTATTATTATGATTCTTGTTGTTGTTATTGTTCTTTTTTAATGTTATTATAACAGACGCCAACGTACATACGTTGCACTAAAATATCATCAGATTTTAACTCTAAATAGAGCACTAGATAAACACCGGGAGTGATGAAACAAATAACAAATAACAATAATAATAATAGCGATAATTAAAATAACAACAACGAGCCAACAAATCTGATCTTAACTCAACTGCATTGCAAACAAGCTGAATATTGCCATAACTATACAGACAAATTGATTAGATCACAACCATAACAAATCAATAACAATAATAATAACAATAATAATAATAATAAACAATAATAATAATAACAATAATAATAATAATAATAATATTAATGGAAAAATTTTAAAAAATTGCGTGCAAAATGTATGTTTCGCAATGGTTGTAGAGTGTAATTAACACACAACAGCAAATTCTATACCACTACAACTACTACTATAACTACTGCTGCTGCTGCTACTACTACTACTACTACTACTACTACTACTACTGCTACTACTACTACTATTGCAGCTACTACTACTTTTAACGGTTACTGCCACTATAGATAATATTTCTGCTACTACAGTACTACAACTGCTTCGACTAATAATATTAATAGTACTACACTACTACCACAACTAAAGCTTCTTCTTCTACTACTACTACTACTATTACTACTACTACTATTACTACTACTACTACTATTACTACTACTACTATTACAACAACAACTACTACTACTACTACTATTACTACTACTACTACTACTACTACTACTACTACTACTACTACTACTACTACTACTACAATAATCATAATAATCATAAAACGCTAAAAGACGCCTATCAAATTGAAGATTGATGTATATGACGTGCATCCCCTCCATCAAGTATATATATATATATATATATATAACATATATATATAACATATATATATATATATATATATATAGTATGTAATTAAATTTAGGGGTTGTTGAATTGTTGTCGGTTAAAAAAGTTTCGAAAGGAAAAATAAGAAAAAAAAATAAATAAATTAAGTCATTTTAAGTCATTGATGACAATTGAAAAGTGAGTGGAAATTGTACATTTTTCATTTAATATGGTATTTGGAAAACAATCTAGTGTGTGTGTTTTTTTGATTTAATCTTAAAATTGAACGGCAACTCGTTATATAAAAAGGATATTTATTAATCAAGTGAAATTTATTACAAGTTTGAAAAGCAAACAAGTCATAATCATTAATTATTTAAATAAAATTTAATTTCCTCTTGAAAATTTTCGCCACAAGTGAGCAGCGAAAGTAGAAGAAGCGACTACATACTGCGCACTACTCAGAACTACAAAGATTCGGACGCCAACAACAGCAGCAACAAGTTTCGAAGCAACAACAACACTTTTTATACCTCGTATAGCAGTAGTGCAGCCGCTACAAACAGTAGTAACAGCAGCGACTTCGACGACTTCCGAAGAAGGCTGAGAGGCACGTCAGTCCAGAAAGATAATTACGCAGCTGGCAGAACCAACTACATGGCCACTGGCCTGAGCGGCTATTCATCTGCAGCTAGAGATCGCAAGAGCTATAGCTACAACAACAGCTACAACGATGACGACTACAGCCACAACAACGACAGCAACGACGCACGCAGTAGCTACTCTCTTATAAAAGCGCCGAACCCGTTCCCAGTGTCGAAATTGAGGAAAAGGTTAAGGAAGGTCATTTGTGAGACCAGGGGTGACCCTTACTACTTTAGATATTAGCAGCAACAGCAGTAGTGGCACCAACGACAGCAGCAATTATGTGTAACACGGTAGTAACCACTCATAGCGATAACAATCATCTTAGCGATAAACTGTAGTTGACGTATTTTTTTCTCTTCGTTTTTTATACTTTCAAGACATTAAAACATTAATTTCATAATTTTTTTGACACTTATTTAAATTTAATTAACTAATCGCATTAATTATATCATTTTTGTGTCATTTATTCGAATTTAGCGAAGTAACTTTTTGATATTTCCCTATAGAGAAGAAAACGAACAAACAAAAATAAACCTATAAAAAAAATTTAATTGATCATTAATTAACTATAAATTAATAATTGTGATTAGCTATAAAAAGAGAAATATATTCAAATATAATAAATAAATCAATTAATCAATTGATTAATTAATTAATTAATAATGAGATGAAAATGTGTAGAAATCCATAGAAATCGTCCACACTATCAGGTCAGTTTTATAATGGGAAAGAGCTTGTGATGTTCGAAATTGAACTCCGGCAATTTCTATAATTAAAAATAATTAGTTAATAATTATAGAAATTAATTAATTAAAACATAATTCATAATTATCATTTGCACCGTCGCAATCGTCACTCCTCTTATCATAGGGTAGAGTTCAGAAATTGAACTATAGTAATAAAAATAATAACGCTTATCGATGACCTTCAAGTCCATTTTATGCCCACCCTCCAGTATTCTCATAACGACTAGGTTCGTTTTGGCCACTTTCAGTAAACTCTGCACCTGGAGAGAGACGACGACGACAATGATGACGTCATAACGATGATTGAATCATTAACATCATTATTTTCTTATCAATAATTTGTTATAGTATTTAGCATCAGCCATCATCACCTTCATCTTTATAAATCCCACAATCATCATCATCGTCGTCATCGCTATCATTATCATAACCCCTCAGTCATCATCATCATCATTATCATAACCTCTCCGTCATCATCATCATCATCATAACCTCTTCATTTGGATTTGGGATAGACTCGAGGTGTAATTTCGTCTGATTGAAGCACTTGGAAGCTCCCTTGTACAGATCCAATGACGTCGCTACTGGGTCACATGACTTTACGTCTGTGTGCTCCTGATTGGTTGGTTGAATGATTGGTGGGTTGGATGGTTGATGGATGGTTTGACGATTGATAAATGTTTGAATGAAAAAAAGCGGATGGATGGCCAATTGGTTGATTAATAAACAAAATAGATATGGATGGATAGATGGATAAAATACACACACGCGCACCACACACACACATAAACACACACTCACAAACACATACACACACAAACACAATCTACCTTGAATTGTTGATATTGAAGCAGAGGTGGAGCCATGATGAAAGCAAACGGCGAGAATCTGTGGTTGTATCGGACCTCTTCGCTGTCAAAATCGAATTTCGGCAGACTCAACTTGTTGTCCATTCTCAAGGCTATCACGGACTGTCAATCAATCAATCAATCAATCAATCAATCAATCAATCAATCAATCAATCAATCAATCAATCAATCAATCAATCAATCAATCAACCAATCAATCAATCAACCAATCAATCAATCAATCAACCAATCAATCAACCAACCAATCAATTAATCAACCAATCAATCAATCAACCAATCAATCAATCAACCAACCAATCAACCAACCTTATAATATCCTCCAGTTAGGCAGTGAAGTGCCTGACTGACTACAAGTTCATTGCTGGGCAGCTTCACCTTCTTCTTACTCTTCTTCGTCTTTTTCGTTCCCTTTCCTTACAAATAATAATAATAAATAATAAAATTAATAATAATAGATAATAATAATAATAAGAAGAATAATAAAAATAATAAAAACTGACCACTATTATTGGCATTATTGGCGGCAGAAGTCATTGATTCGGCTTCATGTGCATAAACTTCAGCTCTGCTTATTGTCGACGTCAACCAATTGTACAGGCCCTCACTCAAGTACCTGTGTGTGTGTGTGTGTGCGTGTGCGTGTGTGTGTCTGTGTGTGTAAGTGTGTGTGAATACTGATGATAACAACGAACGACGAGAGAGACAAGCACACAAATTTTTTTACGCATATAAACACAGACATGTGATAATAAGTGTGATAAAGATGATAGCCTTAATAACGGCACACACACTCACACACGCGCGCAAACACACATACAAATACAAACACACATATACACACACATAAACAAACACACACTTACACATACATACACACAAACTAACCAAAACACATAATTATACTCGTGTGGCGAATACAGTTCTAACTCCAGACCGGATGTTACGTAAAGAATCATAACACGTAAAGTAAGGTAAAGGACCCAGGTACCAAAATAGGAACCCACTCTATAATTCGTATCCATCTTCATCATTAAAGTCTGCATATATGAATCTAATTTCTCCGCCTAATTATAGGGAAAGATATTTTTTGTTTTTTACTATGTAGAAAACCAAAATTTTAGATTTATGTTAATTAAAACATAGTGTGATACAGACAAAAACAAACAGACAAATGAACGAATGAATAAATGAACAAACGAAAAAGTTAAAGAATGAATCAATCAATCATCCAACCAACCAACCAGCTAACCAACCAGCAAATCAAACAATCAATCAATCAACCAACCAACCAGCCAATCAATCAACCAACCAGCCAATCAATCAACCAACCAGCCAATCAATCTATCAACCAACCAATCACTCTACCTCTTCCTGTAAGAGGGCCAAATCTTCAGCCACCCTGGCCCACCTGTCTCGCATACGAGCCCTGTTGTGCCCCGTGGTCTGTACGATGTTGATGATGGGGCGAACGCAGTGCACCAAAAACGTGTCCACACATTCTTTCAGTTGGCAGTTGTTATAGAGTGGGTTGCTGCATTTGTTGGTTAGTTTGACGATTGATTAGTTGGTTGGTTGTATGATTGATTGATTGATTGGTTCGTTGGATGATTGATTGATTGGTTGAATGATTGATTGAATTGTTGGTTGGCTGGATGATTGATTGATTGGTTAGATGATTGATTGGTTGGCTGGATGATTGATCGATCGACTAAATGATACATCGCAATCGTTAACAGCAGCAGCAGCAGCAGCAACCACTGCAACCACAACAAACCCCTTAATAAGAGCAGGCGGCGCACAGAATGATCTGATAGTTTCTCTGATGATGTCCATGACCACCTCTCCAAAGATCCGCTTGTTTATTGGTAGAATCATCAACTGATTGAATGATGATGATCACGATGATATTGGTTTGGTGCTGATGATGATATTAGCCGGGATAATAGTGGCGACGATGATAATGATGAATGAATGAATGAATGAATGAATCCTAATCAACATGACAGAAGTCCAACTTGCAGAATGGATCTGGAGAGCAAACATGGGGATGGCTTACTGAACTCCAAACAGAAATCCTATCAAAATAATTATTAATTACAATTACATTTAACATATTAAGCTAATTATATGCAAATCAGTAAAAAATTATACCAACTGCAAGCAAATTAGCACGGAATTGAGCAATTTAAAAGCAGAAAAGTGCAATACAAATGTATCAGTCCACATACAGCAGACATACATACCCCAAAAACTAAAAACAAGCAACATCGCACCGTCACAACAACAACAACAACGACAACATGAACAACAACAACTACAACAACATGAACAACAACGACAACATGAACAACAACAACAACTACAACAACATGAACAACAACGACAACAACAACAACGACAACATGAACAACAACAACAACTACAACAACATGAACAACAACGACAACAACAACAACGACAACAACAACAACGACAACATGAACAACAACAACAACTACAACAACATGAACAACAACGACAACAACAACAACTACAACAACATGAACAACAACGACAACATCAACAATGACATACAATAATCTCGTGGAAATTATTGAGTGATGCAACGGAGATAATATGCTGCAGTTGCAAGACGAGTTGCTGGAAATATTCTACCGACTCTGATCTCGACCTGATTAAAACCAGTCTCGGAAAGGTAGGGGGTAGCAAACGCTGATTCGCCATTGGCTCGAAACCTGGGGCAAAACTTCGTTGGGATGGTGAAGTGTGTTGCTGCTGAGTGTGAGAGTGTGATGAGTTTTGCTGCAGCTGCTGCTGCTGCTGAAGTGACGAGTTTTGTTGTTGTTGTGGCTGCGTTTCATGTTGATGATGTTGTTGTTGTGAGGCATAAGACCCGAGATGGAGAGTTGACTTGATGGTAGCCAACAGCTCGCTCATCTGTTTCAAGAGTTTCTCGCCATCTGCCATGCCACCACTCTGAGAAGTTTGGAAAAATAACAATGGAAATGGTGATAACATAGACAACGAATCATAACAACAAGCAGAATCATCCCAGAGAATATTATCACATTAGCAGAATGCAAAAGAAAAACATACAACCCACAACAATAAACTATTATTATTAAATCCAAATAACCCAACTAATATATAATCCACAAGCGAAAAAATTTAATCAAGATAACAAAGATTAAAAAAACACCCAACAAACAAAGAACAAACAAATCCCCAACGAGCAAAGAACAAATAATCCTAATTCACTAACTTTCTCTCTGTTAAACATCAGCATCAGTGAATAAAACAATCTTGTGAACTTTAGACGAGAGGCTAGTGCTTGTGAAACTGTATTCTACATGAATGAATTAGATATGACGTCATTGTGACATCATTATATTCGTTATTGTCGTTTTTGTCTACTCTATCATCATCAATATCATTCGTATCATAAAAATCTGACGACGATGATGATGATGGCAGAAGTAATGATGATGATGGAGAAATCTGATGATGATGATGATGATGGCGAAAGTGATGATGATGGTAGTAATGTTGATGGTACCTTATTAATGTCATCTTGAGTTTGCTCAACGCCTGTTCTGGATCTTGTGCTCTGTGGAGAGAGAGAGAGAATAAATCTTAAAATAATATCAATTTAATTTACTAATTTATTTAATCAATCAACCATTCGTTCATTCGTTCATTTATTCGTTCGTTCATTCATTCATTCATTCATTCATTCATTCATCAGTCAAACATATGTACCACTACTAAAACAAATACTAATTAATACTTTTGTACTTTTTAATTCAAACAGAGACATGAAAGAATTGGTATAGAGCATTTTCAATCTAAAAAGTGTATGCAATCATTAAAAACACGTGCGTACACACACATACATACACGCACGCACGCACACACACACACACATACACGAACGCACACAAACACACATACACGCACGCACACACACACCTTGACGACTTTATTATAGTCCTCTTCAACATCTCTCAACATCGATAAGACAAACTGGTCGGCAACCTCGTCAGCCATATTGAAGTTATAAGACATTGATTGGAAGTCCTCCTGGCGATTGATTGATTGATTAGTTGATTGACTGATTCGACGGCTGACTGATTGGTTGACCAGATGGTTGATTGTTTAGGGTTGATTAGGATACTGATGGTTTTTGTCAATAGTTGGTAGAAAAGTAGCAGACGAGTTATAAATCCTTTGGTTTTTTTTAATAGATGGTGACTGAGTGAGTAATTGATTGTTTGATCAAGTGATTGATTGGTTGTTGATTGATTGATTGGTTGGTTGGCACCCTGACCTAACCTCTTCGTAGACGCTAACTCGGGTTATCTTATCTCTGACATCATCAACAATTTTCAGAATGGCTGTCGAAAATGACTTCAAAGTCGGGTCGTTGATCAGGGCTGGATCGTGGAGGTACAAATTTATGAATACCGTCTGGGCTAATGAGTGTCCTTCTATCCATGTAACCTAACCAATCAACCAATCAACCAATCAATCAACCAATCAATCATTCATTCAATCATTCAATTAGCAGGCCCTTACAAAGCAGGCCAAAGTGTCATCAATGATTCCAATTAATGCTTCTGCTGTCAGATTTTCTATTTTTATCTCTCCATCCTAAAAATTGAAATTTATATAGCTCTAAGTTTTTTTAAATAATGAAAAAATGTAATGACTTCATCAAAATACAAGTATTTATCCATGTTTCTACCTTGATAGCTTGTCGCAGTGAAATTAATTTTCTCTTAGACTGATTGCATAGCATGCCTGCATCCATCTTTGGATCCATCATCTCAATGGCCGACATGCCCTCCATCAGACTGAAACTGGAAGTAAGATAATAATTTTTTTAAATAATTTTTCATTTGGAAAATTTTAAAATTGAAACATTTTTCTTTTATTCATATTCATACTTATACCATACTCATATGGATGCAAAGCTGTCAAACCAAATCTTTTTTTAGTTATAACAGTTTAACTTTATTAAAATATTTAAAATTGATTTAATGTATAATTAATTAATTAATAATTAATTCAGTTAAATTGTTCATCACTGACTGGCTGTCATGCCAAAGCTCTCCAAGTTTCAGTGACTTGCAAGCAGTTTTGAATTGCTCAGTGATATCCGTCCAGGCATATTTGCTTGGGACGTCCAAATTTTCATCCGGACCTGCATCGTTCGTATTTAATTCCGAATCAAACTCGTCCGGCTCTGATTTTGCAGTATCAAACATTTTAAATAACTTTTCCGATCTTGAATGATGCACAAATAAAAACAGAAACGTGTTAAAAGTAAACTTCGATTTAAGGTTGAAATGACAATTAATAGTGAGCCGCTGCATTTGATAAAATGACAATGTAAGAGTTGAACCTGCCCATGTCGTTATTGTGAAGGAATTGATTGAAACAACGCATTAATTCGCAAATTCATCGTGCTTATAAGCTACATTTTAATGTTTAATATTGACCAATTGCCAAATTGGCTTATTTTTGGTTTTGAAAAGGATTTGATCCTGGTAAGCAGGCTACCGTTTAAAACACACGAGCCACTAAATCATGTGCTTCAGCTGAATTAGACTGTTGAGTTAAACATGTCATTGAGGGAAGACTGACAAGGGTTTCAAAGTTGTAGTTGATTTTATTAAAATTGATAATGAAAAATAAAGAAAGGAAACGTGATCCTTCAAAATGTCCAAGTACAAATAACTGCAGATGGGTTTGAAAAATTTAACAATGGTAAAATATACAGAAAATTTAAAAATAAATAAAATATAAACATTTAAAAATAAATTAAATGAAAGAACAACAATAACGCATGTGCCTAAAACAATCAAATAAAAATGGAATATCATTTCATTATAACAGGAGTGTCGGGTAACTAAACAAACAAGCAAATGAACGAACGAACGCACAAACAAAAGAACGAACAAACAAACAAACAAGGAAAGCGAAACAAACGAGTTTCAATTAAAACTTAACTTAACAGCCTGACTAGGTAAATAGCACAATACAATATGAGATTTTAAAATAACAATTAAATAAATATAATTTGACATTATTAATAAATAATATTATACATAACTTACCATAAATTAAACGTCATAACCGATAAAAATCAAAAATAAATATCGATAAAACAAAAAAGAGTAAAGAAATCAATAGAAGTAATTGTATTGTTTATTGTGTACTTTGTATTGTACATTGTGTACCTCGTGTTATCTAATATTGTATTAAACATGCAAGGAGATTTTAAAATAATGCTCCCTTACTTACTTAACATTAGCTAGCAGAAATTAGCCTAGTAAAAAGTTATCAAACAAAAGAATAAAACGATATAAAATGATTACACACAGGCTTCCATACACACGCACACATACACGTACACATACAAAAACACACACACACACACACACACACACACATGCAAACAAATGATAGGTTCTTCTAACAAAACAAACTTAACAACATAAAATGAAGAAGATTTGATGTAGATAGATTGACTTTATAGGACAATGATACCGACTTAAAAAGGAAAAAAAAATGTTTTCACAAATTGTAAGTGAGGCAAATAAATAATATAATAATAAATAAATAATAATAACAATAATAATAATAGTAATAATGATGATGATGATATTGTAATGGTTATATTACTATTATTTATCCTAGGGCATATCACTACATCACCTATTCGGTGTTATCATCATTAAAATACATTCACGAAAAGAAAATAATTTTTGGCATTTAAACAATATACATATATACATAGTTATAATAATAATAATAATAATAATAATAATAAAAGCCACGAGAGAAATGAAATCTATTATTATGATTTGATTATGTAGATGGTGAATATGATGATAATAAAGATGATGATGATGATGATGATGAAAAGAAGAAGGAGCAGGAGCTGAAAAAGGATAGAGATGATGAGAAGGAGGAGAAGAGGATGGAGATGATGATGACGAGGAAGAGTATGGGGAAGATGACGGATCCATTTATTTGATAATCATTGCCATGATCATGCCCAGACCTGTTTAAAGTTTTTTTTATCCACCATAAAACTAAAAATGAATGAAGTTAAATACATACATAATTTACTTACAAATACATATACACATACATACAAACAAACAAACAAATACACTCTTACTACTCCCACATATACCCACCTATGTACACACAAACAAAACATACAAACAAAACATACAAACCTTAAGCGTGAAATCCCAGCTACCAGTGCATAGCGCAGTGCCATCTGGGGAGACATTGAGACAACTGACCCTATTCTCATGGCCATACAACATGACGACACGTGTGGCTTTTAGGGCATCCCAGACATTCACCACGTAGTCATTGTAACCGCCAAACAGCAAACGACCTAATCATCAGAGTTATCAAAAGAATCAAGATACTACCAACGCGTTAACAACAACAGCAACAACAACAACATCAGCAACAACAACAACAGCAACAACAACGACGAAATTGATCAACCAGCTAACCACTTAGCGAAAAATCAACTGCATTGCAGCCAAAAATGATGCTATCCTTTCTGTACCTGCACACCTCTCGATCAGCTCTCAAGTCAAATAATCGACACTGCGTGTTGATATTTATGTACATAAGTGTATGTGCAGGTATTGTATACGTATGGTACGTGTATATATATATGCCTCAATGTACGTATGTATATTCTTGTGTGTGTGTGTGTGTGTACGTGTGTGTGCGTAATAGTATAGGCATATAGATGTGAGTCTGTATGTAAGTTTTACGCATGCATTCATGTACATTTGTAAGTACAGATGTATGAAAAGATGTAGAGAGATGTGTGTATAAACATACATTCACAAAGATATACACACACACACATACGCACACACACACACATAAACCAACTGTAGCATCATCAGAGCCTGTGGCCACGGCATCCCCACTAGGGTAGAACCTGACACTGTTGACATCTGACTCATGCCCCTCGAAGGCCTGCACACACTGCCCCGTACGCATATCCCAGACCATTACTGTTTTGTCACAACTCTGGCATTTATCAGGGTGGTGATGGTATGGTTTTGATGGTACAAATTGTAATGATGAAAAAAAAGAGAATAAAAAACATACCCCTGACACGAAGGTGTTTCCAGATTCTGATGGAGATAAATCTAGACTCATTACGTCACCTATTGAAGAAATGTGTTCATGTAGGTTTGTGTATGTAGGCATGTTCATTTGTCTGGGTGTGTGTTTATGTGTATGTCCATGTTTATGGACATATGTGCCTTTGTGCATATGTTTCAGAAGAAAGATGATGTTAGAAAACAAAAAAAAATAAAACATGCAGTCAATAACTTTTTTTTACGTAAGCATATTAAGATACATTTATAGCAATGCGATGTATGTATAATCATAATAGATAGTATCATGTTTTATAGGTTCATTAACATGTATGCACATTGGAATGGGAAAAAGTTAGTAAAAGATTGGACAGACCAGTATGTCCTATGAAGCTCTGCATCATCTGGCCACTTTCCACATCCCAAAGACAACAGGTACTATCCCCACTGCCTGTCAATATCTAGGTTTTTTTCAATTTTTTGGACGATTATTTTTCAGAGATATTTCTAGATTTGAAGAGATCTAAATTTACAATCTCTGAAAAGATCAATCAACCAACCAATCAGCCAACCGGCCAGGTGACCAACCTGTTGATCTGAATTGGTAAATTTACAACAGGAGAGGTAGCTTGTATGAGTTGCAATAACTTTTTTTTTACTAGCTGGGTCCTCATCCAAACTGAGTGGGTAGAGTGTGCATTTGTTGTCTAAGCCTCTGTTTAATTAGCATAATTTATTCATTAAACATTAACTTAATATATTATGAATAACCCTAACCCTAACGCACACACACACACACATACATACACACACAGAACAGACACAAACCCGCAAGCCACAACAGTCCCAGAAGGCCCATACGCACAAGCCATTACCCACGTTGTCGGCATCGTTATTGCATGCTCCTTGGTGATGGAAAAATATTTCAAAAAGAAATTTCATTAAAATGAATTTAATAATCTTTTTTGAGAACTCATACAGTGAAAAAACTTAAGGATTGACTTTTGAAAAGTGATTTTAAAAATATTGGCACACTCCTTTTTTAAAAATGTACATTTTGATTCCCTTACTTTATTGGTTGTAAATGCATCCCATATAAGCATTTTGCCATCCTAATTTTTAAATATATTGAAAAAACATGTTAAAATAAATTTTAATTTAAAAAATCATGTTTTTCCTCAAATTAGTGATAATTAAACAAATACAGAAAACTTTTAAACATCTCTATCTATAGTATACATAATAGCATACATATTTGCACAAATAAACAAACACAAACCTACATATATTAACTCACAGGTCTACAGTCTACACAGACATACATACACAACACATAGATCCACAAAAACAAACACATATACACAGAGATCTACACATACATACACACATAAAACATTCAAAATAATTTTCCTAACTTGTGATGAGCTTACTACATGCCTCTTGTCTGTACACCAATCCATGCAGAGTACTTTCCCAAGATGGCCTTTCAAAATTTTTCGAGGTTTCATTGTGAAGTTTGTTAAACTATCCAATCTCTGTGCTACTGATGCAACTAAAATTATTAAAGAAAAATATTATAAAACAATAAATTTTTAATAAAAAAAGCCATTTTAAAACTAAACAAAAGACAATGAGACTGAAATTATTAAAGTAAAACAACTACTCTACAAAATTTTTCTCAAAAACTTCATTTTTATTCACGAAATACTGCAAAAAACAATTACAAATCTCCCCAAAAGAAAAAGATCAACACAAAATACCGAAAAAAAAACAAAACACTAACGATCAACATCGCTTAATTTCGATCTTTCTTCCTCTAATTTGGCCTTCAGTTGCTCAGCTTCTCTGGTTAGTGCATCAATAATTTCTTGATGATTCTGTTGATTTTGTTGCTGATTTTGATGATTTATATCCTGCCTTTGTTCGACAACGTCGCTAGCGGCCATTTTGTTTACCATAATTCTGATGATGAAGACGACGGAACGGTGGGAAAAGATTGTGAATAATTTCAATGGTAACTTCATCACGAACTTTTTTTATTTTGTGATGGGGGCATGTAGTAGTTGTCTCAGTTTGTGCTAATGGTGCAAATAATCTGTTTCAATTTATTTACTGTTTCAATCTGTTTACAAAAACTCATTTCAATTTTTAACAATTTATTTATTATTATAGCTATAATTGTTATATTTTGCGACGATTATTATTCACATGAACCTAAATTTTCCCTCAAACTTCACTTTTGTAAGACTAAATTTTAAAATCGTGAGAATAATAAAAATGCATACATGCAACACTGTTATAAAAAGGCATATTACAGACAACTCTTGAATAAAACTAATCATATTAGCGAATACATACACACGCATTTTGAATTTGAAAAAGCATTGTATGACATGAACGCATGAAGGGAATATCAGAAATGCCATAAATTTTAATTACAAAATTCAGTTTTATATCAAACAAAATCCATTCAGCCCTGCATATATACATAATTACATATATAGAAACAACAAATGTACACACACACATACACACACACCCACACACACACACATACACATACATATACATGAAAGCAGCCGGGCAAACAAACATAAAAGGACAAACAAACTTAAAACGTTTCATTGGTTATTGTTTCTAGATAAATGACAAACACACATGTGTATATATACACATGTATACATATTTCATCACATGTATACAAAATGTATATAGATAAACGCATACGTAGATGCGTTTATATACGCAACACTTAGCTACACTCTACTTTCAATAAATATACAACCTAAGAATTATGCAATACAATATATACCATACAAAACACACATACATACATACACACATACAATATATACAATACGTATTATATACGTGCATATGCGTGCGCGTAATGCAAAGCAGCGTTGCCATCAGCATCTCATTATCTACATACGCATATACACACGCATACATACGTACGTAGAACATACACATATACATACGTACATACATACAAAAACACACATACACATACATACAAAACACGCACATACATACAGACATATCTATTTAATTGACACGTTTATTATATTTATTCATGTATTCGCGATAATTTACAGAAGCGTTTAACTAAACTAACACGACAAAATGCACGCTGAAAACATATATTTCCGTTTGATTGTGAAACATTGCCTCGGTTATTCGCCCTTTTCTACGAATAGTATTATCAAGAATTGGTATTTTGTATAGAATTAGTATTTTCGATTTGTTATTAGACCGCCAAAAATGTTTAAGAAAAAGTCCACTTGTCACCATACCAATGATAATGTAGTGAGATTTGTATGAATTACTTACTGGGATTATAGATTTCTTGTCGGTAACGAGCAAACTAGAAGGTGTGTGGGTAGTTTTGGTTTTTATTAATTTCGTAATTGATAACATTTTTACTTCAATTTTTTCAGATTTATCAATATTCATCTGCTGTTTATTATTATTATTATTATGTAATATGCATAATAATAAGAATAATCATATTATCCTTGTTCACAACTACTGATAATGTCATCACATTAACATCATCATCGTCAAAATTTGATGAAAACTGCTGACGAGAAATGATTATCTCACTGACAATTTCAATCCTCCTCCTGCTAAATTTCGTGTTTCATATCGAAGGCTTGCTTGGTCGGCTATGTTTTTTTTTTTTTTTTAAAATTCAACTTATTTTTTTTTTAAATTAACAAATAAAATAAATAAAATTATGCAACTTATTATCATTTCACAGTCTATCCCATTTTTCTAAAAATTGCTCGATTTTCACTAAACAAAGTCACAAAAATGTTAATCAACTTCTAATAACTCACGTACAGCTCGAACGATGATAACAAACCTACCGATGGAGCCAGTGTATCTTAAAGTGGGAGACCAGTTGAAACTCACGTGCGAACAAAATGGTAACTTCAGAACGGCTTGGCTGAGACACACATCCAAAAGGAAACTCGACGAGGAGAATGAAATTTACACTGACGATAATAAGTATGAAAAAGTTCACGAGGGATTTATTTTGAAATCCTACAGTAAAGACGGTAGGTTCATTAACACGCTGATCAAAGAAAATGTCACCGAAGATGACGCCGGCTCTTATAAATGCGAAGTTTTAAACAATCTCCAACGTTCCTATGCTGTTGATGTCAACATTTTTAGAAGTAATTTGACATTTTTTGATACTTTCTATCATCCATTTGAAATAAGTTTGATTGGTTGGTTGGTGCCTGTCGTGGTTGATACCTCGAAAACACTAAAAAGAGTGTTTAAAAAATCAATCTATAACTTTCCTCAAATGCAGTTACGGCACTGAACGGGATTTCGCAAGGCACTGGGAATCAAACAGTCCTGGGATGTGTGCTACATTCCGATACAAGAAGCTACCCGGAAGTGGAATGGAGAAGAAATGAAAAAATCATAAATATAGATGATAGTCACAATAAATACATCATCAATACCTCACTACGAATCGACTCCAGCGATTTCTATACAACTCTGACCATTAAAAGAACAAGTACGTACTTGTTAAAACACTGTATCTTTGTGTTCTTCCCGACAATTGTGACAAAAAAACGACATCGTCAGTATTTATTTCATAATGTTCTCGATATTTTTCTCAATAAATTTTTATGAAATTGAACATCGAAAATGAAATTATAAATATTGAAGATGACCAAGATTCGGGTTTGTATACGTGTAGCATGAGGTTTGGTCCAATATGGTTCAACCAGACGGTTCAACTCTTTGGTTTGTTCAACTATTGAATTAATGTTGATTGATACACCATGCAATTAATTTGGTCCATGGCTAACTATCATTCATAATTTATCGTGGAGCCAAGTTTATACGAAATCCTGTTCTACTTAGTTTTAAATTAAGAAACAAGGCAGTAGCATCCTCACGTTTGTGTGAACACCCACACCACACCACACGACGTACACACACACATTTGAACTAACCTACCAACCAGCCATCCACAACCACAAGACGTGTAGTACTTTTTAAGCTGTGAACAAACTGCATTTGAACAAGATCAGCGCACAATACCAACGAAGCGAATCTTAGCGCTTTTACCTTCTGAGCTAACTCGCCAACAACGATTGACAGTTTGATTTAAAATGATTTAAAAATCATCAAACACAAAATTCAGCTCCTCCTAACGTTCGCATTTTGGATCGATCCATTTCTTCGTCGGAGGGCAGCCAAGTCGAAGTTGTTTGCGTTGTCTTCGGCTGGCCAACCCCCGTCATCAGCTGGTTACGAAGTGACAATTCGTCAATATCGAAGAACAGACACCAGAGAATTTACTATTCAACTCCGTATGAAATTTTAGACAACGATTATGACAACGATGCTGACGGCGAAGAAGACGACGACGATGCAGACCGCGATATGAGTTCCGATTACGATGAAGATAAAGATAATGACGACCGTGATGACGACCCACAAATGACCTCAAACAAAAAGTCTAAATTTAGCTCTGGGAAATTCCAAATGATTAACTCCACGCTAATAATAACTGATGTGCAAATGTCTGATAGGGACATTTACATATGCGAGGCAATAGCTTACGTCAATGACTCCGTAGCGCTTAAATCAAGATCCATGGTCTTGCTGAGAGTGAAAGGTACACATTTGATTCAGATTTTTCGTTTTTCTAACAAGATTTTTTCTTAAAATGATAAAATTCTACTTATACTTAGCATACAAACTTGATTTAAACCGATGTGATTATTACCTCTTTCGTTCTCAAACGAAAGAGAGGCTATAAAATCACTTTTCCAAATTTAACTCCACTTTTTTGCCAGGCAAATATGCATTTATATACCCGCTTATCGGCATTATCATCGAGTTCGTCGTCCTGCTGACGATCATCGTCTTCTATGAAAGGAAGCGCAAGAAAGAGGCCGCCACTGAAGAAGTTGTGGCACCGGTAGCCCAAGATGATAGTAATATGTTAGATTTATTATTTTCTAAATAACTTTCATTTTTTCAAATTCTACTTCTACTACTACTACTACCTACTACTACTACTACTACTGCAGTAGTAAAAGTAGTAGTAGAAGTAGCAGTAGTAGTAGGAGTAGCAGTAGTAGTAGTAGTAATAGTAGCAGCAGTAGTAGTAGTAGTAGAAGTAGTAGTAGTAGTAGTAATAGTAGAAGAAGTAGTATTAGTAGTATTAGTATTAGTAGTATCAGTAGTAGTAGTAGTAGTATCAGTAGTAGTAGTAGTATCAGTAGTAGTAGTAGTAGTAGGTAGTAGTAGTAGTAGTAGGTAGTAGTAGTAGTAGTAGTAGGTAGTAGTAGTAGTAGAAGTAGAATTTGAAAAAATGAAAGTAGCAATTTTTTGATCGATCCTATGAAACCCTTTTTCGATACGTGAATGGGTTTTTCTATCATAGTTTTAACCCATCTTTCACACTTATGCTAGGTTAACTACTTCTACTGCTACTGCTGCTACTACAATTACTACCGATGTGATAATCATTTTATTATTAGTACGAATAAAAAGAATAATTATGAAAATTTATTTTTGTTGCGTGTGTGATTGCGACTAATAAACCTCTATTTTTTTTTACAGTTTTCAACCACTAGTTAAGCCAACAACGGAGAGGAATACGAGGTTAAGAAAATAGGAGCACTAATTTTAGGGTATAACAAACATAATTATAAATAATAATAAAATAATAAATAATAATAATAGATAGTAATAATAATGATAATTCAAGTATATACTGCAATTATATTAACTTCATTTTTATTATTTATTATTAATATTATCATGAATCATGAATCATTCATTATACACACACAACACACACACACACCACACACACACAAAACAAACACAAACACACAACACGTACATAATAATATTATGCACATTTTTTTCAATATTTGGTCTACTTTTAGAACAATCGAAAATCGATTTGCATTAGTTGATATAGAATCATTTTGAAAAATTATTATTATTATTATTATTATTATTATCATTAATAATGAGCCTGCTCAACTTGTAACTTTTAATTTTTGATTTTTTTTTGCTAAATGGTAATTAGATGCTAGCAGCGGTTGACGGCGACAGAGACGAATTATTATTTTCGGCATTTTAAAAATTTAAGAAAAATGGATTTCAGACGAACGAATTGTTAATAATGATGGCAAAAAGTACATGCGTACATATTTTCATATAAAAGACTCTTCAACTAAAGGATAATTATTATACCATGAACAATAACTATACCACACACTGGAGCTGCTTAATCCGTTATTAGTTATACCGGAAAAAGGACAGCTCTGTGACGTCATACATTCATTCATGACGCCATAAATTGTTACTAAAAGTTCTAAATAGTAAAGAAATAACAATAATGCATGACCCGCAATGGTTATTTTATTTGACCCCAAAGCTTCCCGGTCAAAGTTTAAGGCTCAAGAGGTGCTAGAGTTCAATTCCTATGATAATATTTTGTGTAGAAAGATGAATACATTGTTAGCATAACATCAAAGCAATGATAAAATGCTGTTTGACGTTTAGATTTGTAAAATTTTGAGTGAATTTGAACAATATTAAACAGGCTCATATCAATTAAGTTACATTCTTTTTACTCATTTAATTGTGTAAATCGATTAATTGCTTCTTCATTAGAACATATTATTTCCTGTACTTTTTTTTATTTAATAGATGTTCATTTTGAATTTGAAAATTTCTACTGCAGTTTTTCTGTTCAGAAGTAACTTTCATTTACAATTACTTAAAATTTTTAAAGCATTCAGTTATCTTACCATCATGCATGTATTGCTATTGTGATGTTAAATTTATAACATTTATATTTTTCGCTGTAATATATATATATATATATATATATATATATATATATATATATATATTATGTAATTATTATATTTATTATGATATTATGACAATAATTTTTTTCATTCCACGTAGTTCTTTTTGTATTGAAATGATATGATTAAATTATTTTGCAGTTTCCATTTTTTAAGATTAATATTTTAGTTGTCGTTCTAGTCACTTATTGGCGTTTATTCTTTTAATTGTTGAATATCTACTAAAATATATTACGAATAACTTATTTTATATATTTACCGTTTGTCTGTGTGTGTGTGTGTATTTTAAAATCCAGTCATCCATTCTTCGACGAATGATTTTAAATTTCGATTTCTTTTATATTCTTGTTAGAATTCTTGTTTTCGAACAATTCAGACTTGCAAAAAAATGTTTTTCAATATTTTAAACGGATTTTTTCGTTTATTGTCACTGAAATGATTAGGTAGAAATTATATGTCAGAATTCCTGTTTTTTTTACCAATAAACTATTAATTAAATATTTTTTCGATAAAAAAAGCGTAACTATTGAAATTAAAACGTAATAAATGTTTAAATTAATTAAAATAAAGTTTAAATGCATATTAAATTGAAAATTCATTAAAAGTGTGCCTGTGATAAAACCATATAATTAGAATAAACTTTTAGGATAAAACAGAGAAAAATGAACAAAGAAAATGTAACTTATTCGTTTTTCCATAAATTCAATACTTTTGTTTTTAAAACTAACCTTATAAAGCTAAACCTATTGTAAACAAAATAAAACAAACATTACTTAAATTCATTTTTAGTTTTTCATGAAGATTTCATATAAAAATGAAGTTAACGATGTTGGCATGTTAGATTATTTTGTTTGGGGAATTTATAAATAGTTTTTAAATAGCAATAGTTATAAATAATTCATAAATAGTTTGTTGAATTGAAATGGGTTCTATTGATTCCGAAAGTAACGACCAAACTGCAGTCCTGACTGGATTTTTGTTCGGAAATATCGATGAATCAGGAAATCTAGAGGAGGATTTTTTAGATGAGGTAAGTAGATCAAACGTGCCAGTAAACGTAAACGCAAAGTAAATCAACTGGTCTAAAAAAGTCAACCAGCGTTTGTAATGGACGTTGACTTGTCCCTTACCCTGACACTAACCATCTAACCCCCAATTAAAATACTAAATAATCATTATATATATTGTTATGATTTTAGACTTAAAATTATTTTAATTTCAATTAATCAAAGTTTGTAAAGCACTATTTCTGCCATGATCAACAAATAGCTTAGAAATGAACGTACACTAGCTTTTTTAAGTAGTAAATTATAATTATAACTTTTGATAATTAAATAATAAAGAAATTTAAAATAAGTAAAAATTAATCACAAAAATACCTTAATTATCGTTTCACTAACTAACTGCTCAATTTTTTATAGAATGCAAATCCAATAAATAGTGTTATTTTGCTTAGTAGTGATTTGTATTTGTTGTTCATTTTTATTTTATTTTAATAGTTTCACTAACTCATTTATTTAGTTGAAATTTTTGTAAAATTTATTCATTTGGTTTCACTTATTTAGCTTTAATAAAGATATAACCTCAAAAAATCAGAATATAAAAAAATCACCTTTTTTGCATCATTTTTAAATAAATTAACCAGCATAAATAAACAAACAATTTCAAACATTTAACAGGAAAGTCGAAGACGGATTGGTTTCCTGGCTGGCTTCGGCATCGAAAGTTTTGTAAAAGAGATAGCTGAAGGGAATGAAGATGGCAAGGGTCCAGAAGAAGCCTGTGAAGCCAGTAGCACAAATCTGGACGATAATTTTGATAGCAAGAGTAAGGAGATTTTTGACTCTGAAGTTGTATCTACATGCCCTGATGGTCAGATAAAATCAGGTTTATGAATGTTTTTTGTCGTTTGCATTAAACTACTTTGAATTATCCTTAGTTTTAAATGTTGCTTACAGTAATAGATGTACTTCTTGAGATTAAATTTCATTCAATTCACTACTTATTTTCTAACAGAATTTTCAAAATCTGACAATGCCGTCGACTACTTTGACATCAATGAAGTTGCTGATGACGACAATTTTGAAGTCGAAGAGTTGAAAAAGGAAGTGAAGGAGGAGGAACCAGTCGTCGTGGTCAAACAGGAGCCCAAACCACCGGCGCAGACCCTGAACACTCCACTGGCCTCCCTCCTACCTCCACAATTAGCTGGTGAGGATGTTCGAAAATGGTTTCCTGAATTTAGGACTAATGAGGTTTGTCTGTTTGTCTTAAAACTGAATCCAATTTTTTTTCTTTTTTATAATTTTATTTTAGTAAAAAAAAAGTGCGAAAAATTCACAAATCGTCTTCAGTTTTTAAGAAGAGGTTAATGTTTTAATGTTATTAAATATGATTTTTATTATTTTTCGTTCAGGTTCTTAGATTTTCGAGGCTCTTCAAACCGGCACATTTGCCAAATATCTGGAAGAAGAAGAAGAAACCGAGTAAAGATCAGCAGCCAAACAGTTTTGAGAATAGTAGATTGAAAATTAAGGAAACAGCACCAAGATTTGAGCATCAGCATCCCCTGCAAGTCAGCACCAACTCCAACAACATACAAAAATTACCTTCTGAAAATAAAAGGCAGAAAAAAAAGAAGAAGAAAAAACGCTCTACTGTAGCAGCAGAAGCTGTTGGAGGTATGATCACAGATGAAAATGCAGTGAAAAAAAAACACAAAAAGAAGAAAAAGAAAAAAAATAACAAAGAGGATAATGATTGCCATGATCTAGATAATGATGGATTCTATCATGACGAATTCATCATGCGAGAAAAAAAGCCTGAAATTATATACGGAAGATTGCCCACACCCAACGAACTTGCTCTGGATGACATGGTAGTTTACCACTGTGTATTTACTCATGTACACTTTGTATGGCGTGGTCGTTTAATGGTAAAGATGTCTGGCATGTGATATGTGTGATGCCTTCATTCATGTGTATTTGCATGTGCTGTGTGTTTGTGTTGATAGTCCTGAGAGGTACTGAAGAAGTGACAGTTGTGGAAAACTGCATACATATTCATTCATGTTTTTTTACGTTATGTGGTTATTTGATGTTACATGACAAATACTGCACATATTTTTAGGAGTACCTCATGCGCCCAGAACAGCCGTCGAACCAGTTTGGTGATGGCGGGGAGGGCAGGGACAACCCGAACAAACCTGAGGTGGCCGATTGGAGGTACGGCCCTTCGAGGCTCTGGTACGACATGCTCGGTGTCCCTGACAACGGGGCAGGGTTCCATTATGGCTTCCAACTTAAACAGGTACGTTGTGTATTCGTTACATGCAATTGAATTGAAAGGGAACAATTTGTGCGTGCATGCTCGTGTTTGAGAGAGAAAGAAGAGAGAGAGAGAGAGAGAGAGAGAGAGAGGAGAGAGAGAGAGAGAGAGAGGAGAGAGAGAGGAGAGAGAGGTTTAAACTTGCCGATAATGCGCAATTTAATTTTGAATTTGTACCATTTCACCATTGACATTGTAGATAGATAGGTACATGTTGAGAGGGTTCATTCATATTAAAAATTGATTGTAATCAAACCATCCGACAGCAAACATCAGCTGAATGTACAACCTCTGCTGTGAATGCTTTGCTGAAAAGTGAAGAAGATGACAGGGAAGCTAAAGCAACAGCTGCAGCAGCAAGAGTTGACGACGACGTCGTTGCTGTGGCCGATGGTGAAGCTGTTGACGGTGCAGATGCTTGTGCAGATTATAACCCTGACTTATAATTTTATCGTTTTTATCATCATTATATTTGTCTCCATCATCATCTTTATCATCATCATCATCAGGCAGAGACAAGAAAGCGCAGGTGAACATTCCAGAAGAGGCGTACTACATGATAACTCAATCCCATTGGGAGGATGACATCATATGGAATGGAGAGGACGTGAAGGTCAAGGTCATGCAGGGCTTGAGACAGCGAGCCGCACGAGCCGGCTGGATTCCGACATCGAACGCCAGGACGTACGAGCAGTTTATTAGTCAATGTTGGTGGTCTTCTGCCCTTCTTTCATTTTCGTTTTGTCATTGTCTGTTTGTTTGTTTGCTTCTTTTGTCATTGTTTGTTTTTCGTTCGTTCGTTTTTCGTTCTCTGTTCGTTTGTTTATTTGTTTCAATAGAAAACAAGGCATACATCCATACATACATACGTGCCCAGACACGCACACACACACTCACTCACACATGCAAACACATGCATACGTGCAGATGAGCCAAATACGAAAATAAACGCCGGATATAGCATGTTTCCAGTTGAGAACGAGGAGCTAGTCAGTGGCAGATGGATGGAGAATATCATTTGGGATGCCCAGGTCGGCTGCTGATTGGTCGATTTGCTGATTGGCTGGAGTTGGTTGATTGATTGGGAATGATTGGCCGGTTGGCTGGCTAGCTGCCTGTTTGATCGATTGACTGGTTGATAGAGTGATTGAATGATGGATGGATTGATTGATCGATTGAATGCACTTCTCCTCCAGGCAATGGATAAATTACCGGAACCAAGTATACTTACATTGGATCCAGACGACGAGAATTTAATCTTGGACATCCCTGACGATTACGACGTCAAGCAGCTACACAAACAGCAGCAGCAACATCAGCTGCAGCAACAGACCAATCAGGATGGAACCAAGAAAGAAAAGGTTAGAAATTAGCTATTTTCCAGTTAATAATAATAATAATAATAATAATAATATTAATATTATTGTTATTATTATTTAAAATTATAAATATAATAATTTAGGAGAGCAAAAAATCGAAGATGCTGCTTGGAAAGGCTGGAATCCTGAAAGACGAGGAAGATAATAATAATAATATGCAGGTAGTAAAAATCTTAATAATTATCACCGTAAATACATAATTGTTAATAATAATTATTGCTATAATTATTATTTTGATAATAATAATAATTGTAGGAAGAGCCGGACATCATTCAGAAACACCCCTTCAACCTATCAAACGACGAGTACTATAACCCCAAACTGACCACGGACAATGCCCTGGGTCGAAACATGGGCGGATCTGTTATACAAGTTTGTATACGACTGTTTGTACGTGTACGTGTGTATGTGTGTGTGCGCGAACGTGCGTGCGTGTGTGTGTAACTTTTTGCATCTTGGTACAGGTATTAAATTGATTATAAGTACTGTGTGTGTACTAAAGTGTATGTTGTGTATGCATGTGTGTGTGTGTGTTGTGTGTGTGTGTGTGTGTGTGTACAACAGTGTACATATAGTACACAATACAAACACAACTTAGTAAAAAATACCAACCAATAATACGAAACAGCATTCGACGCCAGCTATAGAACTACGTCAGCCATTCTTCCCGTGTCATCTGAGCATCCTGAAACTTCGGAACTTCCACAGGTCATCCCTCAAGAAGTACAGTCACGGGGCTATGACGTCACCTGGACCCCACCCCGTTCTGCCGCTTATTAAGCAGATTAGGAGGAAGGAAAAAGTTTGTTCTTCAGTGATTTGTTTTTGTTGTTTCGTGCTTGCTGCTCTGTTGTTGCTTGCCTGAGGTTTCATCTTTCTCGTGAATGAATGAATGAATGAATGCATGAATGAATGAATGCATGAATGAATGAATGATTGAATGAATGAAGGTATGAATGAATGAAGGAACGAACGAACGAACGAATATACAACCGAATGAATAACTGAAAGTATAAACGTTAAATCTGACTAAAATTGCAACAGTTGAGAGAGCAGGAGAGGCTGGCGAGTGGTGGGGGTGAGATGTTTTTCATGAGGACAGCGGACGATCTGACGTCCAGGGACGGAGAAGTTGTACTTGCCGAGTATTCAGAACAGTACCCACCGCTTGTCAATCAAATCGGAATGGCTACCAAAATCAAGAACTACTATAAGAGGGTTTGTCGTTGGCTGCTGTTTTAGATTTCATTTCATTTGATTTCATTTTATACCGCACCTCATTGCAAATATTGATGAAATCATCCTCAGAGACCAGGCCAGGAAACGAGCCCACCAGAATTTAAATACGGCGAGCTGGCATACGCCCACACCTCACCCTTCTTGGGGGCTCTACAGCCGGGCCAGTGCGTGACCGCCTTCGAGAATAACATGTTCAGAGCCCCCCTCTACGAACACAAGATGAATTGTACTGACTTTTTAATTATCAGGAACAGGAATCAGTGCGTTTTCTTTTGCTGTTTGTTGGTTAAAGGTTTTTGTTGATGTTGTATATACGATCACACTCGTATACACGCACACACACACACAAGCACACACACGCACACAAACGCCACTACAGCTACTACATTAGAGAAGCGGATGCCATATTCGTTGTGGGTCAGGAGTGTCCGCTAATCGAAGTTCCTGGGCCTAATTCTAAAAGGGCCAACAATTTTTTAAGGGATTTTTTGCAGGTTTGCCACTTTGTTTGTTGTTGTTGGCGTTGCTGTTGATGATGTTTTTGGCGACGACGATGCTAATAGTAGTGATGATGATGGTGATGACGTCACTATTCCCTCCTGACCTAGTTATTCATTTACCGATTGTTCTGGATGAGTCGCGACAACCCGCGGCGAATCAAAATGGAGGACATTCGCAAGGCCTTCCCATCGCATTCTGAGAGCTCCATCCGGAAGCGACTAAAGCTGTGCGCAGATTTCAAAAGAACTGGTTAGTGCTTGCCTCGGTGTTTCCAACTTATTCTATAATTTCACACAATCAGTTATTCTGGTTTAAGCCAAATCACACATTTCAGTATGAGCCATGCTTCAACGCCGCGCTTCCCTGTCGCTCGATTTTTAAACTTGAAATGCTTCATTTGTTATTTTCGCAGGAATCGATTCAAACTGGTGGGTGTGGAAGCGAGACTGTCGTCTGCCAAGTGAGGAAGAGATGCGGGAGATGGTGTCGTGCGAGCAGTGCTGTGCTTACTACAGCATGCTGGCAGCCGAACAGAGGCTTAAGGTTGTTGTCATCGTTGTTGTTGTTGCTGCTGCTGCTGCTGTTGATGTTGTTGTTTGTTGATGTTGATGTTGTTGCTGAAGTCATTCTACTACTTATGTCATGCATTCCAATGTGATGCGTTGATGTTGTGATGTATGTTTTCCGATAGGATGCAGGCTACGGAGAGAAGTCGTTGTTTTCCAACGAGGAGGAAAATGAAGATGACGTGCAAGCCAAGATGGAGGATGAAGTTAGTGACGTCATCGTGAACCGTGAACACATCCTTTACGTTTAATATTAGTTACAGATTACACGTTACTTACATGTAATCGTAATGCATTACATGTAAATTTACATGTAAAAATTTTCGTCCCCAGGTGAAAGCGGCTCCGTGGAATACGACCCACGCGTACATCTCGGCCATGAAGGGCAAGTGTTTGCTGGCTCTGAATGGGGTGGCTGATCCGACAGGGTGCGGTGAGGGGTTCTCCTACGTTAAGATACCGAACAAGCCCCAATTAGGAAAGGTTAGTGGATAGATGGACGGATAGAATGAATGAATAAAGGATGAACAGATGGATGAAATGATACCCACCCAAAAAACAGGACGACCAATCAAATCAGTTGACCTTGAAGAGGTCAGTAACCGGAACGGACGCTGACCTGAGGAGGCTACCGTTGAAGGACGCGAAGAATTTGCTACTCAGGAAGTTCGGGTTCGATGAAGCTACCGTGAGTTGTTATTATTATTATTGTTGTTATTATTATTATTGTTGTTGTTATTGTTGTTTGTTATCATTATTGTTATTCCTTTCAGGTTAAAAAGTTGGGTAGATGGGAAGTGATCAACGTGGTTCGTACTCTGTCCACTGAACAAGCAAAGTCTTCCCAGGATGGTCTGTATGCGACACAAGCGACAACATAACATAGATAACATAAAAATTGACAACAACAACATATACAACAAAATTAACAATTGCGACATAGACAATAAAGTCCTGGTTATGACATAAGTCCTGGTTATGACATTAAACTGAC